TACCCTCCCCAGCGGCAGGATGTATTCATAGGGAGGGAAAGGGAGGTCAGTCTCTTTACTCCACAGCGACCAAATGTGTGTACAGGAGGGGAGGACAATTTCCTCACACCCCAGCGGCAGTATTTGTTTATGGGAGGGGAGGACAATATTCTCACTCCCCCACAGCAGTATTCGTTTATGGGAGGTGAGGAGAGTACCCCCACTTTTCAGTGGCAGAATGTATTTTCAGGAAGCGAGGACAGCATCCTCACTTTTTTAATCAGCAGGAGGAACTCCAGGGGTGGAAGGCAGTCGGCTTCCCTCCCCAACAACACAATGGAGCTATCGGGGGAGTTTTGTCTAGGAGGTAACCCATGTGGATTTACTTTTTGGGCATGGTTACCTGAATAACTCAGGCACTGACTGTTTGGAGGTCTGGTACCTTGTTAGTCTACTCTTTGGGAGGAAGATATGTCATGGAAGCTCCCGTGCCACAGCCAGACTACAGGCCAGGTTACAGACTTTAAAATGATATATAGGATGTGGGGATATGTTGCGTTATTGTTGAATTTTTATGTAAAATGTTGAGCTGGATGAAACCTACTGAGTTTATTATATTATGTAACAACTATTGTGCAATGTGTCATGGTGTCCAGCAGGAAATTCAATTGTCATGTCTTGACCTAATTATGTCCCAGACACCAAGACATTAGGGAGTGGTTTGCATTGCTCTGGCTGAAGACCTATGTTGTGTGTAGAGGAATAAATACATATGGTTTTTCCTGAAATAAACAGTTCTCTTGTTTTACCCAATACTACTGGTTTTGTCCACTATATTAGGGAATTTTGCAAGTTCCAGAGGGATATAATCACTGTATGCTTTAGCTGAATCCAGGACCAGCGGAGGCTTAGAGAAGCGGTGACCAAGGGACACTAAGAGACATGTGCAACCCGTGACAAGGCCTAAGGAATAGGGATGGACATATGAAACAGATATTTATAGCTAGGAGGAGCAAAGGATGGAGAAAAGGCTGAGGGGGATGTAGAGCAAAAATGTATTGTGTACAATTGAAAGGTTTACCAACCAAATTCTATCAGCCAAAATATTAATAACTATATGTACATAAACAATTAATTGTATACATCTACAGGAAATAACAATCGTAAACTTAATGGACAGAAAATTACAGTGAATTACTACAGGTGGAGTATCTTCCAAACTTTAGTCATTACCTGAAAGTTGCAGGGAGAGGTGACATAACGTTTCTCAGTGTTGCTGTTGTATGGTTTGTGGATTGAGGCCCATAGATGTGGGTTGTTCTTTTTTGAGCTGTGCTAAGTAAGCTGCGATTCACACTGTCTGGTCACCAGTGGGATTATAAGAAAAATGTGATTTGGTATCGGCTGCTACAAAGACAACTAACTAGTACGTGTGTTTTGAAGGAACCACTCAGTCTTAAAGGACACATCTCATTGGTTTTGCTATGTTTTCATTCCACGGTTAACATACCACTAGTAGCCACTAGAGGCGCTTCCACCCCATTAATCGAGATGATTTCAATGAGATGGTTTCATACAGACCATTTTAATTGGTGCAGTGCTGTGTTTTGCCTCGAATGCACCCTAGCCTCCCAAAGGTTACCTATGGTTAAACCAAACACAGATGATCTCAGCTGAAGAGGTGGAAAGGTAAGTAATACCCAACCTTCAAATGGCAGGAGGGACACCACAACAAGTAGCAGGACACTATAGCATTAGCAATGCATGTTTGGATTCCTAACGCTATAATGTTCCTTTAGTAAAAAAGCAGATGTTTTGTTTATCATTCTTAAAATTAGAAAAAAATTTTTACTAAAGAGGTTTCAATTTGTTTCTTTTATTTCATGGTCTGGCATAACTCAGGGATGTACACTTTACACTTAGGTGCTTTACAGGAATAGTTAAAGCTCAAGATCCAACTTCATTCTGTCCTTGAGCACTAGCATATGCATAAAATAGAATGTTATAAGCATTTTAAAATCATTAACCTGGAACAATCCATCCTACAAGTGGAAAAAGCTTTTATCATCTCACTGTTACATGACCCTATGACCAAAGTATTTGAGATTTTGTTTAGGCTCCAGCTTCGTCTCGGCTTTTTGACCCTCGCAAAATATTTCTCCATTTATTCACTTGTTTTTTGCTGTCACTCTCCAGGGCCATTAGATTGAGTTTGTCCTCTTTTAGAGAGCTATCAGTTTTCTCCAGGAGATTTAACGTATTATACCAGCTGAAAGGATGTGGACATTTAAAGGGACATGCACCACTTGACAATTATTTTTTAAACCAGCAAGCAAACACTTTTAAACAAATATGCAAATGAAAATAAAACAAGAATAACTTTGAAAAGTATGTACTAAATGTTTAGAAATTCATTATTATCATTGTCAGTTGGTATTAATTGGCATGCCACTCAACTATGGGAGTTTCTTAAGCCTTGCCCCCTTCTTAACTATAATGAGAGAAAAACCGACACAGGGGCCTGATCTGAATGATCACCCTGATCAGACTCCCTCTCTTCTCCCCCTGTAAGAATGTTACAAGGTGAAGAGATCTTCCAACTGCACATGTGTAGCCTGTCAGGCATGCCCAAGGCACTTTTACAGAATTCATAGGGTTAGGACACTGATTGGTTAGATCAGGGCGGTGTCACCATCGAGGGACTTTGTGAATGCTGCAAAGTCCCTAAACAGTAACAATGCCACTCTAACTCCAAAGTCCAGTGCCTCTCAACTCAGCCCAGCTACTTTTAATTTAATCAAAGGCTTATGACACTCTCAGCCTATCAGTAGCTCGCCATTCACAAAAGGTAGCCACGTTTAGTAACCTACATACAAAATAGTTGTTCTGTAGCCCATGGATTAGTGCAGCTAGCGGAGTGGGCCTTGACAGAGCCAGGAGATAGGCATAACAGCCAAGGGAAATTGAGTGACAGCTAGGAAGCTGGGGATGGAGCTACGATGGGATTATTTATACCGGCCATTTTATGAAGTGGCCATCTTAACTAAACCTAAACTTAACTGTTAGTTGTCCCTCCCACCCTCCCTGAATTTGGTTAGGTTAAAATGTTCTTGTTTTTTCACAGCGACAGGAATGGTCAGGTTAAATCGGGGGGTAGATGGAGGAGGAAGTGGGCATCCTGAGGTTTAGTGTGGATTAGGCAATGTTTCACTTGATTGGTAGATTCTAGCCCGTGGACTGACAGTTTCTGTGTTAATATGTTAATTAGATTGTTATTTATTGTTATTATTGTGGGGTCATTGCCAGCAGGGCCGGACTGGCCCACCGGGATACCGGGAAATTTCCCAGTGGGCCGCGGCACCTGTGGGCTGCGCTGAGCATATAGGTGCCACCGGGTGGCCGGTCCGGTGGCACACACTGTCACTGATGATGCTGAGGGCTGAAGGATAAGGAGCATGTCTACCATGCTCCCTCACGGTTCCCACAATCCCCAGCACTGTATACTGATATAGCATTCTGTGCTGGAGATTGTGGGAACCGCGAGGGAGCATGGTAGACATGCTCCTCCTCCTACAGCCCTCAGCGACAGAAGTGCCACCGGACCGGCGAGGCTGCTACCCGGCCCGGCGGCTCCAGCCTGGAACGTGGTCGGCCCCTGACTTCTCTGGGTAAATGGGGGGGGGGGCATAAAACAGAGAGGGGAATAGACACAGGGGAAGGAGGGAGAAAGAGACAGAGGGGGAGAAAGAGGAGGAATAGAGAGATGGTGGAGGGAGGAGAAAGAGACAGAGGGGAAAAGAGATTTGGAGGTGGTAGAGACACAGGAAAAGGGGGGAGAAAGAGACAGAGGGGAAGAGAGATGTGGAGGAGGGAGAGACACAGGGAAAGGGGGGAGAAAGAGACAGAGGGGAAGAGAGAGACAAAGAGGGAGAAAGGAGAGAGACACACAAGGGGAGGGAGAGAAAGAGGCAGAGGGGGAAGAGAGAGACTGGGAAGGAGAGGGGAGACATTGACACAGAGGAACAGTGAGGGGGAGAAAGAAACATACAGAGTGACTGGGGGGAGACAAAAAAGGCACACAGAGGTGCTGCAGATAAAAAAAGACACACATAGGGGCTGTATATATCACTGGTGGATGGGGGAGCAACTGGGCAATTCCCCCCCCCACGAAGCTTTGCCCTGCCGGCCGATCTCCCTCCATGCAGGCACCGTGCGGGCAACCGGCAGGGGAGGGAGGAAGAGAAGACCCGGGAGCTCAACCTGCAGCTCCCCTGGGTCCTTCTCGCGCGAGCACAGAGCGTTGCCTCAGTTACCACGGCAACGCTCCGGCTCTCACAAGGATGAACTCTAGCCCTGGAGCTACAGGCTAGAGTTCACTCTCACCACTGTGACCACCAGGGATTCCTGGAGGTCGCAGTAGTGAGAGTGAACTCTAGCCCCATACACACACTGCCCCCACACACACACACCATACACATTCACACACTGCCCCCCCATAGACACATTGCCTCACACACGCTACACATTCACACACTACACCCCCCCCACACCGAACCTTTCACACACATTGCACCCCTCACACATTGCACCACTGCTCCTATACCCTACTACAGCCCCATATCCCAGCAGACTCCAGGTAAATTGTCAAACTGTTCTTAAACGGTTTGACTATTTACTCTGGAAGGGGGTCCCGGCACTCCTGGCACCATAACCACTACACAGAGGAGTAGTGGTTATTGTGCATGGAATATTTCTTTAAATAATCTACAAGTGCCACTCCTGGGATCAGGCTCAGGATCCGCCACTGGTATATGACATGTATATTAATGTGTGTATTAGTTATATATAAATATATATATTTATATATATATATATTATATAGAATTATGCCTATTTTATTTACACATATTAATGTACATTTATATACATTTATATATGCATAATACACAGAGAAATTTCATTAATATGTACCACATGTAATGAGCAGATATTGGCCGAGTCTTGTTGCTAGGTGCATACTCCAGCACAATAACATGTTTAAAGTGAAGAGCACACCCACAGGACTTCAAAATAAAAATTTTTTACAGTTGTGCCCTACATACATTCACCATTTCAGTCCCATTAACAAGCTTTCCTTAATATGTCAAGGTAGTTGGACTGAAACATTGATTACATGCAAAGGCACGTCTGCTTAAAATAAATCTGCACTTTTGTTTATTTTGAAGCCTATGAGTGCGCTTTTTACGTTGAAGTACTTTTTAATTTTAAGTTATCTGTTCTAACTCTGTATCTGCACACTATGCTGGCGCGACGCATTATGGGGCTGGTAAATATTTTGTTTCCAGGGCTGCTTTTAATTCCCAGTCCGGCCCTGATTGCCAGGGGGATGTTATTTATATGGGGGGGCTTTAATAATATTTGTTGGCAATGACCCTATTTGTTATTCCTTAATTAATTAATAATTAATAAAGCTGTGGACTAATATTTCCAACAATATAACCTGTGTCAGTGTCTTAATGGGGTTCGGGGTAAGGTTAGCGCATATGCCGGTAAATCCGATTGTGCACCTGTCATGAGGTAGTCAGCAATTTAACCGGTATAACATGCTCAGAAAATAATATATTTTTCAAGAAATACAGAATAAAGTTTTGCAGTTCAGAGCAAATTCCTAAATTTAGTGACGTAACCCTTTTGTAGTCATTTTGAGCTTTAATGGGAAACTGTCACCACTTACCTGGCTAAACGCAATCTCCTTACACCTCTGGTCCGCCCACCTCCGGTCAGTCTGCGCTCCCAATCTGCTCTTCGCTAATTTGTCCTTCTTGGTAAAACTTCTCCACAAACCCTCTAAATGATGTTGACATGCTGGCTTTGTCACCAGTGTCCGAACGTCTGAACAGAATGATGTCACATCACTCCGTCCCTATACTCGCTAGCCAGAGTTAGCATCCCAGCCTGGGATTTTTCTATAGCAACCACAGTGCATGTGTTGTGGTTGCTAGGGGTGGAATTGAGCGACAGATGGGAGAATAGGCTATATTTATAGGTTTATCTCCTAATCTATACATTTGCTAGCAATACATCTGAAATCTGAAGCTCTTCTAAAAGAGCCAAAGTGTTTTGGCTATTGACAGTCTCCCTTTAAGAATGTCCCCTCTCCTGTCTGTGGTATTTTAGCTTATAACATTGCCAGCAGCCACACTCACACTTACTCTTAAGTATTCTATCCCTCCCTATTTCCCCTCACGCTCTGCATGAGGACCTCCCGGGTCAGTTAACAGACAAAAGGTAGACAGCTACTAGAGGAGTAGTTAACCCTCAGAGGTAATTTTTTTAATTTCTCAGAAAGTGCAATAATTACCACTGCAGGGTTAAGGGACATGGGACAATGCACCCAGACTACCTCAAGGGGCTGAAGTGGTCTGGGTGCCTACAGTGTCCCTTTAACAATTCTGTTAAAATATTTTATTGAAATTTCCATAAATATTTTCAGGAACAAAGAACAATCGAAAAGGGTACAAAAGATTAAAAAGGGAAATGGGCTTAACATATTCTTCATCTACAAACAATGCACCATATGTATTGTATTATTGAATAAATTCAAAATTAAAAAGAAGAGTAAACAAATATTGCCCAATATCTAAAAGTATAAATATCTCTCATTAAATAAAACATTGAGATATAGGCTCTTATCTTCAAAATTACCTGCGTCCACTAAAAAAATTATTTATTATTATTAATAAAGAAAAAAAATCTCTGAGGAGGAGAAATATAACAAAAAAATGAAAAAAAGAAAGAGAAAGAAATTAAAATATAAATATTAAAATTAAAAATGGGAAAAGAAACAAAACAAAAGTATAAACAATAAAATATAGGCCTTGGGTGGAAATGGATAAAATCGCCATCCGCTCAAATTTATGGAAAACGTGGCCCATAATATCTCATAAAATATCATTGACATACTGAAATTTCCAGAGGACTGCAATCTTGTCCCCTTGCTGCATCTCAACAGTTCAAGGATTAAGATTACGCTTGATACTTTAAAACTACATCTAAGCTTACAGGAAGGTTCCTTGTATTCCTTCTCTATTCGTTTGTCTATATTGTACTTGCTATCTCCGCTATTGTACAGTGCTGCGAAATATGTAGGTGTTTAAAAAAAACAGTAATAATAGTAAATCTAATGATTCTTTTCATCTCAAGGCCCCTCTCTCTGGTTGAGAAAACTTCTTGCATTTGACATCAGAAATATTGGTCTTAAAAGAAACCCAAAGATAATGAAGGTTAAATTCTTCACCAAACAGAACAGAAAGATATTGGGATCAGAAAACAAATTAGATCAGAGAAAACAAAATCATGCTATATGAGAGGTGCGAAGTAAACACACAAGACAGAAATCTATCACCCGTGAAAAATGTATCAATTTTCTCATGTAAAAATGTTCTAAAATAAGGGGATGTTTTTACATATACTGGTGACTATTTCGTATTGGGTAATAAATGCATGAATAGGATACAGATTCCGAGGCATAAATAATGAGAATAATGGAAAAGAATAAATGATAGGTATAGGAGAAAAAGAGAAATAGGAAAAGAATCTCCGAAATGAAAGACGAATGTGAGAATTAATCCATAAACAAATTGAGGCCAAATACTCTGGCATATATTAATTAATGCTGTTTATTTATTGAACAGTTCTTATATGGTGCTCTTAATCCATAGCACTATTCTTAGATTAACAATCCTACAATAATTGGTATTTAGGTTTTAATGCAATCATTAGATTATAATAGAGTATAGGGCATTGAGGCTACATAATTATAACTTAAAGAACAGTTTCATTAATTTTATGAGCATACAAATAACATTAATAACATAATAGTTACATATAACAGGTCAGAGAACAACACATTGAACAACAGAATGGTATATATTTATACTCACCGGGACTGATGGGGTTACAGCTAGAGAAGGCAGTGATTAAGGTATTGGATATTGGAGAAGGATCAGTCAACCAATGAAGGGAGTCAACTTGAGGATTCTGTTTAAGAGTATTCGGGAACATTTTATGGAAGACATTTAAGAATGGAGGATTGGATGAGACAGGTTGCTGAAAGGATGTAGGGTGAAAACTTGTTCCAGTTATATGGCCCTAGAGGTGTGAATGAACAGAACGGAGAAACAGCACATGACTAGAAGGGAGGTGTGTGGGATGTGGATTACAGAGATCAGAAAGGACAGGTAGGGTTAGGTATAGTGGGTCATGAGATTATTACCATGAATGTGAGTTGATGGAGAAGGAAAAGGTGAAATGGTCTAATTGAGACAAGGTATTCCAATGTGAGAAAGGTCATTCAGTTGTAGTAGAACAGGGAAAAGTAGTGGGTTTTTGAGAGATAGAACCTGTAAGAGGCAAAGATGTACTTAGAGGATAAATGTGGTTGTGTAATCACTGTGGTAATATTGGGGTAGTTTGTTTCTGGGAGTTATGAAGCTAAGCACTTTGGTGAGGAACACTTTTAGGAGCATGACAAATATAAAGACTTGGATTTAATCAACAGATAACTTGAATTCCAGGTAAAAGAAACTGTGCTATAAGAGTGCTTGATAGGGTTTATCTAAGGTAGAATGGCTAGAGGATGGAACCATCTTGTAAGAGGGCTAAGGAAAAGGTTTAATGGACAAAGTAGTATAATCCATTGGTAGGAAGTCAATTAGGAAGCAGCAGCAATCTACTGGTGTCATGGTCATGGTGTCATGGTCTAGTTTGTTGTTTTCTTTTGGGTCCACAGCAGAAAAAGATGTATGTTCAGTTGAGGTTTTCTATTCTTTTTGGAATGCTGTCGTACAACTCCTGAGCTGTGTGCACAAGGATATCACACTATTCTCCAAGAATAAAAACTCTACCAGTTGTTTGAGATAAGAACACAGTACTCCAAAATATTATATTAGGGTTTGAAATGGTGTAGCTGTTGTAATTGGAGAGGCCATGGAAAGCTTTAGTTTAATTTGCTAACGTATTTGCTTAGTAGTGATTCTGTAATTTGAGAACAATTTAAGCAAAATGTTCACCTTGTCCTTATATTCTCAGGGCACACTTGGAACAAAGATAAATCTCAATGTATCTTATCTGAAAAAAATATTTAATAAATTGGTAATTAAATTAATATTGGTTATTGACAACTATGAAGAGCAACCCTGTTTTTGAGCTTACATGAGATATTCCATGTTGGAGGCATTTTTTCAAGTTCTCAAAACTTAAAGAAACATCCTAAGTCCTTTCTTGATGCGTTCTCACTTGATCTGTGAATAACAGCAACGTTTAATCACCTAGCCATCAGTCTTTTTTTATTCCATCAATCATCTCTGCTGTGGGCAGAATTCCAAATCATGAATCAAAACGAACATACTTGTCTATTGCACGATTCTTTGGGTTCATGATTCGGCTACATATCAGTTTGGAGTTTGGAAAATCGCATGATCACGCAATTGGCCCAAATTGCAGTTCGTAACAAAACAAATATCCAAGTCTATGATTTACAGTTCACTCTCAGGCACTTAACTGGTCCTGCTGCCCATTTACACTCACAGTGTGCGCGTCCCTGAATATTTACAGCCTGGTTATTATCCACCTTCCTCTTTCACCTCCTGAGCCAATTGGTGGACAACAAGGGTACCACTTAATTTCTGGACTAGTGGTCTACAGGGTGATTATTTTTTTTATTTTGTGCCATCACAGTTGAAGTACGGTAATGTACTAAATCTGTGGCTTTTAGAATATTAACAAACTAACCAAACATTCTATTGTCACATGACAGCATTGCTAACTTAGAAGATTCATAGCACATGACACTCACTCGGCGACACTAGTTCTAAAGTTAGCTTGCTAACTAATAATGTGTTATATAATCAGAAGTCCTGCTATTTGAAGGAGCAATTGGTTCCCTTTACTGTCCTTTACTCTCCATCAGTCCAAATGATCAGCAAAGTCATTACATATCAGGGTAGAAAGTGTCTGTTTAACTATATTTGGTTTGCAAGCTTTTTGCTATACTGCCTCCAGGTCTCTCTCGCTCTTTCTCTCCAACACAGTCAATGATGCTATATTAGTGGAAATTTTTAAAAAGAGAGAAGATGCCAGAAAAATTTGATTCGGCCAAAATGATTAAGCCCAAAAAAGTAAAAATGATGTTGGTTGATTCAGGATTGGTCCTTGTGGCATTTTGGTGT